CACTCATAGCAGACAGGGGACATCAATCAGTGATAATATGACCATTCACGAATGGAACAAAGATTATTTAGTTTGTAGGGAATGGTTGTGGACGAGTATCACACGAGCGAGGGATTTTAACAATGTCTATTTTTACAAGAACAAAGAGGGAGATGAAGATATGTTTAAGAGTTTGGTAATCAACTATTTTAAAAACAAAGTTGAAGGATATAAACAGCAAGATAGAGTAGCAAAAAGAGAAATAGACGAAGAGCAATACATTGACGAAAACTGGTGCTTAAAATACTTCAAATCCTGTTGCCAAAACTGCGGAATTAAATTTAATCTAGATACAAGAGGAGGAAAGATAAGTTCTAACTTCACTGCTCAACGTTGTGATAATGAGTTATGCCATACGGTTGAAAACTGCACCGCCTTCTGTGTCTATTGCAATTGTAGTGCGTCATGAATAATTTTGAAAATGAGTTTTTCAAAATTATTTTATTAACTTAATTAATGAGTTCAACACAAGAAATTATCAAGAGTGTATATTATGATAGAAGCGGTTATGGTTCAAAACAAACAACCCTCAAGGATGCTAAGCAAAAAGATAGTAGTATTACAATTAACGATATTAATGAATTCTTTAGTAAAAATGTAGAAGAAAAAAGAAAGATGAGAGGTGAAAATAGTTTTATTGCTCCGCATAGTTTCTGGGAATTTCAAGTTGATATGTTTTTCATTTCTAAAAATGATTTGGAAAATCAAACATTTAGAATTGGAATGATATGCATTGATATATTTAGCAAATATATGCATATCGTGCCAATTAAATCCAAGACACCGCCAGACATTTTAGCAGGGTTGATGGAGAACCTAAATAAAATGGGCGGGAAGTGTAAATTAATTTATACCGACGAGGAAGGCAGTTTTTTTAATCAATCAGTATTAGATTATTTGAAGGAGGAGAAAATTGAATTACATAGAACTAGAGGTCATCCAGCATTTGCGGAGCGTGGAATTCAGACTTTTAAAGATCAACTGTTTAAACGAGTTGAAGCGGACAAGAAAAATGGAAAGCAGAATATCCAATGGACGGATTATATTTTTGAAATATTATTAACTTACAATAATAAGAATATTCATTCCGCAACTAAATTTACACCGAAGGACGCAAGAATGAAAAAGAATGAATTTGAAGTAAAAATGAATATTACAATGCAAGCAAGAAATACTAGAAAATACCCTGAGTTGTCAGTGGGTAGTAATGTAAAAATAATGAGGAAGAAAGGCATAAGCGAAAAGGCACATACCAGTCATTGGTTAAAAGAAGTATTTAAAGTAAAATCAATTGATAGTAAATTAGGGCAATCTTACTTTCATTTGGAAGGAAAAACTAGTCCTTATTTGAGACACGAATTATTGAAAGTTTAATATTAAACGAAATACAGTTAAAGAAAAAACGCCTTATATTATTAGTGAAATGTTATTTAATTATTCAAATTGCGAATGTTGTACAACTAAAAGGAATGATGTTAATATAACATTGTATAAGTTATTACCTGCTAATCTATGTAATAAAATAAGTGAATATAATGTATACTGCAATCAATGCTGTATAACAAGAGACCTTGAAAAGTTTTTTCTTGAAGAACATAAGGACAAGGGATATACAAAGTTTCAATTACAGTTAAAATTCTTTATGCGACACCAAGCAAGATTTCCTATACACTTTTACCAGAAGATTTCCAGAAAGTCATATGAAAATGAAATTGATGAATTCTTTAGTAATATAGATTTAATTAGGAGGTTTGGAGGAATAAACGCAATTAAACCATACAAAGCATTTGTCAAAAAATACCGTTATTTGTTTGAATGGATTGACTGGCATTTATTAGACAAAGATAAAATAAACGAAGTCTTGAACGAATTTAGAGCAACTAAATATAGTATATGGTATTACTACAACACTAAATATAAAGTATGTCTATTGTTGTATTTATTCTTTTGGGAATATATTTATTCAATAATAGGAAAAAACAATATCAAATATATATACATTGGTGATATAGATAAATATGTAGATTACATATTTGAAGACATATTGCCTGACCATTATTTTAATCCATAAACCTTACAATAAAAAACATTGTAAGATTTATGATTTCAAAATGACTTGAAGAAATAATAACTTAATATATTATAGTAAAATGAGTGATACAGTCGGTATCAATGCTAAAAATATATTGAAAGACAAATTTATGAGTTATAAATGTGATGACTGTGAAATGCTCAAATTACCAATTGAACGGGGTTTTGCAAATGGTGTTTGTAATAATATTTGTCAATATATAATATGCAATAATTGCAATAGAATTATAAAAGCAATTGATGATATGAATAACAAGGATATTGATATTATAAATAATGAAACTATTGATGATGATTTAGAAATATTTGTATTTATTGAAATGAATAATTTCTTAACTATAGAAGGATTTGATAATTTATTAGAATGTAACGACGAAGGATATAATAATGATTTTATTTTTAAGTATTATAGTATTGTAAAACAATTATACAATATGTCTTTTAATATTAAACGTTTAAAATACGTTGTATTGTTTGATTTTTTAAATGAGTTTTTAAATGATGAGTATAAAACTCACGAACTTAGATATACAATAAAACGTGCGATTGGAATAATGGGAATGTTTAGAAAACAAATAAAAAATAATTTTTATAATGAAACAACGTGTGACAAAATAATAGAAAGAATTAAATTAATAATTTAGTTTTAGGCGAAATAGTCCTAAAGAAAAAACACCTTATATTAATAGTGAAGAAATGAACGGTATTGAAATCAATAAGTATATTAATAAGAAATGCTACGACTGTTGCCACTTTAAAAAAGAAAATATGGAATTGTATAAATTAAATTTACCTAATGGAATAATAAATAATATTATTGATTATGCTTTGGGTGAAGAAGATTTATGCGAAAATTGTAAAACCTGGAGAGATAACCAAGCTATAATCAAATGTTTGTTGAGATTAAAAGGAAGACATAATAGAAATGTAGAAGATGACATTTTGATATTTTTAACTGTGTATAAATTACCACCTTACGTTTATGTTAAACAGTTTCTTAAAATCAGTAAGAAAAAATATGAAATGATTTATGATATATTAAGGATGTTGTGTCATAGTCAAAAGAAAGGAGATGATATTAAAGAATATATCAAGTTTTATATTGAAATTTATAAAAAGTTTAATGTTAAAAACACAGTGAGAGATATTAATATTATTTTTAAAATGATGTATGAAATAAATGAGATTTGTCAATTAAATTATTATCCTGAACTTAAATTATAAATTACACCATAAACCTTACAATAAAAAACATTGTAAGATTTATGTTTTGAAATTATGGGGATTTTGGGATTTGGGATTTTGGAAAAATATATTTTGGGAATTTGGGATTTTGGGATTTGGGAATTTGGGATTTTGGAAAAATATATTTTGGGAATTTAGAAAAATATTTACAAAATTTATGTATCAAATCTTGAGTTGAGGTTCTGTTATGAAATGATGAAAAAATATTATGTGAATTGGTCGGTTGAGGGGATTTTATATTTTAGGATTTTGGAAAAATATATTTTGGGAATTTGGGATTTTGGAAAAATATATTTTTGAAAATTTAGAAAAATATTTGTAAAATTTATGTATCAAATCTTGAGTTGAGGTTCTGTTATGAAATGATGAAAACATATTATGTGAATTGGTCGGTTGAGGGGATTTTATCTGAACTGGGGCCTGGCCTTTGGTAGGTCTTTGACCCCTCAAGATAATGCTTGGGGGAGGTATAATGCGAACGTGTGTTGCATTTGTTTTATCCGGACCACTCCTCCGGACGAATCCGAAGTTAAGATTGTGTGTTCCAGCTGGGTGTTTGTGTTTTGTTTGGTTAAGGGAAGTGTAGTTCAACTATGAAGTGTTTTCCCGCGTGGTTTTCCTGTCATACATCAGCCCTCCCTTCGTTTCCCACCTGATTGCTTTTTTAAGGAGAGAAATGGCCGGTGACTGGAAAGCGGAAGATGCTGCTTATTGCTAGTGGCTGCACCCCAGATTTGGCAGGCGATAGGCTCAACTCGTAATTCAGGAAACCAAAAGTCGGGTAAGCCTTTGGTGATTTGGATTGCTTTGGCCCTTCTTGAGGGAGGGCAACTGCTTGAGACCATCCCCGGAACCTCCAAACCGGGCTGCAAGCTCCAAGAGGGGGCCCACGGAACTTGCCCGGGCTTTTGTTTTGCCTTTGGCTCTGGCTCCTGCACACCCAGTACCTGTTTTTTCAGGGCATGATGTCGACCATCTACTGGAAAAAGGAGTTTTGTACCATGGAAAGCCAGGCTGTCCCAAGAAATGCCCTGAAAGACTGGGGCGTATTTGGATTTTTTGGCAGCCACGGAGAACACTTTCCGAGGCTTTCCCGCAGCCATTGGACTGCTTTGGCTTTCCTTGGTGCCGACTCGCGGTTGTGTTTTGGAACTGGGAACTAAACGGAAGGCACCCATTTTAGGGGGCAAAAAATAAGAAGCAGCTGGGGGCACGCAGGTTTTAGTCACTGGTCTTTGTTTCCATATACCAAAATGGCACCATTTGGGGTACCATGTTTTGAGCCACAGCCATATGTGGTTTGTAGTGTTTGCCACACCCCTGTCGATTTACCCACCCCTGCACACATGGACCTGACCTGCGGGGGGTTCGGGTTTGGACCGAACGCGAACGGTGCACCCAGGTTCCCTCCAACGGTTTGGCGGTGTGCCTCTGAGCCAGGGGCTCGAGTTAGCCAAGGACATATATCAACATAACAACCCCCCCCCCAAGCAAAAAGATGAATCAACAGAGAACAACTCCAAAAGCCGCCAAGAATCCCGCCCCCCCCCCGGAGAAAAACAGCAAATGTATCACAAGAATTACCTCCAAACACCGGCAGATCGCTCGGGGTAAATTCCAATCAGGTCTTGAAGAAGGCCTACACCAGCCAGTGCGACATGTGGAGCCTGGGGGCCCCTTGGCCGCCCCGCTTCTTCTCGTTGTTTTTTTGGTTCTTGGGAGGCGGGCATCCGGGGCCTTCAGGGGTTCCCATTGACCCAGGGGTGCGTTTTGCTCACGTCCCGAGTTCCGCTGCGAGCTTGATGCCTAGATTGCCGGCTTGCCTCCGCGCTTTCTTTTTTTCCCCGGACGCTTTACCCTAAAAACAGTCACAGCTGAGGGATCCAGCGATCGCAACTGGCGATCCAGGTGGTCTCTTTGGGGTTTGAGGGGGGTTGGCGACCATCGGAGTAGCCCAACGGGTGACTGACAGCCTTGGGACTTGAGGGGTTGGTATTTCTCTTGGGGAAAAGAGGGCTCTCCAACTGGCCACTTGAGAGGGGATCCGAAATTGAGAACCCTCACTTCCTGAGTTCATAAAACTTTAAACTTTTTGGGTTTGGACCATTTTAGTGGTAAGCAAAAAGTTTGAACTCATGTCTTTGTTTAGTTTCTTTCTTTTCTCCCGAATGGCCATATGGATAGTTCTCCAGATTTGGACCTCAAATAAATGGTTGGCATGGCAAAGTGGCGACTGGTACAAGGGGTGGCTCGTCTTTTTTGCGGATTTGGACCCCCAAAATGCCGCAACAGTTGTCCTTTTGGTTTCCCTTTCGAAGCCACAGAAAAGGGGGTAGCCTCAAAAAAAACGGGCACCCGTATATTATACCAATCTCTTTTTGGCGAGAGCGGTGTAGCGGAAGCTTCAAAGGATGGTTGCTTGCTGTATGTAACGTATAGAACCGAACCCAGTGGAACCCGCGGATGTGATTCTATCCTGAAAAAGAAAAGCCATGCAAAGCCCGCTGGTGCCCGATCGCCCCCGAAGCAAGAAACAAAAAAGCGAAGCCGCGCAATGGCTTTCGCCACCTGGAACCAAATGCCACGAGAAATCTAGTTGGCGCCCGCCTGGATGTTGTAACCTGAAAAAAATCAGCAAACTCCACCGGAACAAAAAAAGAAGAAACAAAAGCAGAAGGTCGATTGGTGCCTTTTGCCCCCTTTGGCCCCAACCCGGACTGAAGCCGAAAAAAAAAATGCTGGGGGGTGAGGTGATTGCATTCGTGCTTCTCTCGGGTTACATGCCCTTCTCCGGCTCAGAGGCTGCCGCGGCCTCGGGAAAACGAAAAGCCCGCGCGCGAGCGAGGCAGACATCTCACTTGAGGTCCCGTTTCGGACGTTCCTGGATTTTCGCCTTTCGGGTTTGGACCATGTTAGTGGCAAACAAAAAGATTGGACATTTGGACTTTGTTTGGCCAGTCCTCACATGAGTTCTGTTTCGAAGGTCCGTTTCGGAGGTTAAAAGCGTTTGGGGCTTGGACCATGTGAGTGGCAAACAGAAAGTTGTTGGACGATTGAGTCCACTCAGGAATTGAGATATGCGTTTTGTTTGTTGGTTGTGGGGGTCCGAAAATGGTAGTTTGCCTTCCGGTTTTCCGAAAATGAAAGACCCCGAAACTCGGTGGTGTGGTGGAGTTACCATCGAGGTGGGCCAAGATATGTGAGGCATGTACTTTTGACACATACCCATGTGCCGTTGGCGTCAAAGGGCAAGCTACATGTTTCTTGAAAAATGACCCCGCTACTTTTCACACATACCCATTTGCCATTGGCATACCAGGGAGAGCCACAGTTTTGGAAAGTGACCCCAGTATTTTGACACATTCCCAGTTGCAATCCTATTTTCTATTTTAGGGTCACATGTGAAATTCCATGTGACAAGATGCACTTTTGTGTACAGATTTCGGCCAGGGTCTTTGCCCCGCGGCCCCGCTGCCCCGCTCGAGGTACAAACCAAGAACATTGCTTCAGGGCAAGCTCCGGCCACGCTTACTTCAGCGGTGTGCATTTTTGGATCGAGCGATGTCCTTTCCCGTGTCCATGTTCAGTCAGGCTCCTCAAATGCACATTGACATGGGTGTGGCTCAAAATTAAGCAGGAGGGGTTACGCAGGTTTTGGTCCATGTTTCCACTTGCCAGGGATCCATTTTGGTACCCGTTTTTTGAGCCACAGCCACATGGTTGAAAGTAGAAAGTTTGTGGTTCTACAAGTAGTAAAGTCCTTTGGTTGAAAATAGATGACACTCTCTGCTGTTTGGTTGGCTCCTTGTCATTTGTCACTGAAATCCAACGTTTGCTCAAACAACACAGGGGTTCCCCCCTTTTTGGGGACCATTGAAAAATCACCGTCTCTCCGGGCTGGTCAAAAGGCTTACTTGGGGTTCACGAAAAATAGAAAAGATTCCTAGTTGGGAAACCATGACTCATGGCCGAAAGAGTTTGTTATACAGCCATGTCCTATCGGGGTGGCTGAGTTAGGAACTTCGACGCGGGGGGTGTCAGAAAGCCTTGCCTGGTTGTTAAACACCGCCGACGGTGGCGACCAAAAGGTGTTGTTTTGTCGTTGGGCGAAGCTTCGGGCCTTGACCATGGCCATGGGAGTTGTGGCCGCCGCAAGTTTACATCTCAAAGAGGACCATGGAACATGTCTCGCACATGTTTTTGGCGCGTCAGCCCTCAATTTGGGCTTTTTCTCGTCTTTTTGTTGAAGCTCGGTCCAGACACGCCATGGATTTCTTGCTCGAAGTGCCCATGGACGACGCCCTGACGCAGCTGCTGAACCAAGTGCCTCAGCTCAGCGACCGTCAGCTGGACCGCCTCTTCTGTCGCCTCAACGCGGAGCGTCTGGCGCGACAGGAAGAAAAGGAGGCGCCCAAGGACGAGGCGGTCCCTTGGCAGGGAGTGACCGCCTAAAGGTACTCCTTTGGTAGCATTTTGCCAAGGGATGTTAGGACTTTAACCTTTTGACATCTAATGGGTTTTCCATCAAACCGCTAAAAGTTAAACTTTTAGCAGGGGAGCAGAAAGCAACTGAGAGAGGGTATGTTGGGAGGTCATGTTCGGATGGTGAAACATGGGAAAAATGCCACCGGAATGGTGGAAGTCTACCAGAATCACAGGAAGCCAAAGTGCATGTTCTAGTTGGCATGAGTCAGGTTGATGCTTCATGGGATCGAAAGTGATCTGGAAGCCAAGCGAGTCGATCGTTGCACCGGTTGGGATGGATGAAGCCCTATGAATTGCCCACTTCCCACTGCCTGGTGCAAAATGGATCTTGTGCCAAGCTCACAGGGATGGACAGAATGAATGATCCGTCCTGTTGTCTTCGTGTTCGGGGGTGGTTTTCTTGAACCAACTGGCGGCTCAAAAAGAGGTACCCAAAATGGCACCTTGGTAAAAAAGAGCCCAAAGCCTGCGGTCTGCCGCTGTTGCTGTTTAGATCCACACCCAGCTACTGTGGATGGTTGCGAAGTCCGAGACCGCACCACTTTCAAACCATGGTTTCAATGGAAGACCAAGACCCTGCATTGGACACCAATGGGTGGCGACTTGAGGGCCCTAGATCCATCGATTGGAGCCTCTGGGTACCAAAAAGGGAACCGACAAATCTACCATCGGCCCGGCGAGGTGCCGGAGGTGAGCATCAGCTTGCAGACTCTCAGCGGCCAGGCAAGGGGTTTTGGAGCACGAGTAGAGCTTCCCAAATCGGGGTGCCTCTGGGTTTAAAGGCTAGGTCCCCCAGTGCCCTTTTGCCGTTTCTTTTTTGGGGGGAGGGTTCCGAACCCTACTAAAATGGACTAGAGAAAAAAGCTGGTACCCTTATTCTAATCTCTCTACTGGAGGACCTAGTCTGAGTTTAAAGGGAATTTGTGGGTGGACGGAATCCATTCCGCACTGGGAAGGCTGAATCCCTATGAATTCGGATAGGCATGGATTTTATAATTTGGGATTCCTGAAACTGTTCCACCCCCAAAAGGGCTCCAACTCTTCTGTCCAATTGTGTGGTCTTCAAAAGTTGACGCTGGCCTGGCAAAAAGGAAGCCGAGTCTCATCAACTGTGCGGGGTTCGGGGCGCGAGCTCGATGCAAAAAAGCGGGGGGCTGAACCCGCAGATGTTCGTCCACGGCCTTTCCGGCGGGGATGGGCGTTCAGAACCTTTGCTTCGGACCCATGGCTTCGCTTGGAGCTCCCTCGCGGCCAAAGTTATGTGGTTTAGCCCCGGTGAAAAGGTATGTTCAAGCCGAAAGGAGGGGTGACACTCAGGTCCCGAGTTTCTGCCTAGATGGCCAAGTTGCGATCGCTGGTTTTAGTCACTGCTGTTTTCTTGAGGTACAGTGGATGAAAAACAGGCGATCGCAACTGGCGATCCAGGTGGACTGAAAGCTGTCATGGAAGACCATCTTTGTGGTACCTGGACTCTCAAACTACCCATAAAAATTGGATATCACCCCATAATTTTGGGGGTCAAACCCTTTTTTAAGGGAACTTTGAGGGTTCAGGTAAACAAAAGGCTCGGACTTTGTTCGGCTCCACTTCAATCGCCCCATAGTTGGCTCTGACTTGATGGAACCATAGTCCCAGTCCGAAGGTTTCACCCATCGGTCTCCGTTGTTCTTGTTTGTTTTCCGGACACGTCCGTCGTTTTGTTGTTTTGTGGTGTAAGACTTTGGGCCTAACACGGACAAAAAAGGAGAGTCCATCCGTTTGGATACGCCGATTCTTCGGACACACCCGTTGTTTGCTTTGCTGGAAAGCATGGTTCAAAGCCGGATGGTTGGCCATTGGCCGACCCGACGTTTGTTTTTGGGAGAACAGATGAAACTCAAGCCATATGACAAAATCCACTTTGCAGTTGGGCACCACACGATAAATGGGATAAACCTATCCGGTGCAAAGCGGATTTCGTCCATCCGCAAAGCGAAATCGCCAAGGTTACTGTGGGCAAATTCGCCACATCCCCTTGGGTTGCCTAAGGGCCTCTACATTCGAGTCCTTGGGGTGTCCAAATTTATCGATAGGACCATAACTTGCTGATGCTCAGCAGGGAATGACTATAAACCATCCCTGATCTCGTTTCCTTTACGGGAAGCCTCAAACGCTTCATTCCCACCCAGAAACTCATTGTCATCTACTGAGCACCAGAAGGCAAAACCAGCAAGCTGGAAAGCCCGTGTCAAAAGGGGAATTCCCGGACCATTCCCTACCTACTGAGCAAGCAGAAAGAGAAAACTCGAAAGCCCACGGAAGGGACATCCCCCAAATTCATCCATCGGACCATAACTTGCTGCTTCGATGGGCAGGGCATGAGAATTGGCATGACCCCTTACAAAGGGAATTCCCGGACCAGAGGTGTCCTTTTTAGGCTAGTGTTCTTAAAAATAGAAGTTGCACTGGTTTAGATGGGTTTTATTCCATCTACCAGGGCCATCTATTTGTCCAAAAGGACACCTACGAGGGTTCTAGCAACCCCCAAGACTTGCAGAGGTGTCATTTGTGGTAGCGCTCCTGTTTTATGCCCAGCGCAAACTCAGCCCATGGCTTCGCTTCGTTCGGACGCAGGTCTTTCCGCTGCAGATCTCCGGCGCCGCGAGTTTGGAGCAGCTGAAGCGGGCCGCCTCGGAGGTGGTGGGGCAGAACGCGGCGCCTCAAAAAAGGGCCAGAAACCAGAACGACATAGGTATATGCATACTGTCGTAGATATACTTATTTTTTAGATGTAGATAGATATACCTCTCTATATTTTCTAGTATTTGGTGTGTATGTGGGTGGTTTCTTATTTGTTTAGCGCCCCCCCCCCCCCTTTTTTGTGTTTTTTCGGGGAAGCTCAAAGGACAGCCCTTATTCGGGGGCGGGTTTTTGACACATCCTCATTTTGGTGGCTTTAAGCATCACCCTTTTGGGGGTCGTATGAAGTGAGTTTCCTGGAATGATGTTTGAGGGGATATAGGTCTGGCGCCTAGGTCAAAATGTCCAGATTCTGTATGGTTGATTTGAGAGGCACGAGCTCTAAATCACAAAGCCCAGCGTCACACAGCCTCCCAGAAAACCCCTGACGAACTCTACATGTCCCGGGCCCTTTTGGGGAAGCAAGACGTTTTTGACCGAAAGGGTTTCTGTGTCTTGGACCCTCCCCAATGTTGGCGGTATTATGTGTATTATGTGTTTACATATATTTTTTTTTATATACATATGTATACAAGTACGCACTTGTGACCTAAGCCTCCATACCCTTTCTGCTATTCAGATCCTAAGGATATGATCGACCTGGTGAGCGACAGTCACAAGCTCACGAGCGTGGACTTCGTGGGCTGTGTGAACCTTCAGAGCCCTTTGCTGTTGATTCAGCGGCGCCGCCAGGCGCAGAAGGAACCGAACCCAAAACCGGGGGCGGGTTCTCCAAAAAGGCGGTGGTTCTAAAAACGTGGGGGAGGTGGTCTTGTTCAGGTTTTTTGCTGCTAAGGTTCCGTGGAAATCGGGGGGTCTCTAAAAAGGAGCATGTAAAGGTGTTCTTGTTCAAGTGTTTTTTTGGTTCAGGTTCCATGTTATTCTCGGAGTGCGTCCATGTGCGTTGACGATTCTGAGTTTCCGCGGTTAGTTATGGAGAACCTACCACCCACTTCCTGAGTTCCTGGACTTTGAGGCGCTTCCTGGGCGCTCGAGTAATCCTGCATGTCGGTGGCAAACACACGGGGGGTGGATGGTGGGGTGGGGTGGATGGTGGGGTGGATGGTGGGGTGGATGGTTGGGCTGGGGTGGGCTGGGGTGGATGGTGGGGTGGGGTGGATGGTGGGGTGGGGTGGATGGTGGGGTGGGGTGTCGATCTGAATGTCGAAACTCCAAGGGTTCAATCATGGTTGTCGAACATCGTCTTTCCTTTGATGTCGTGGATTCCAACGACCAGTCAATCACTTTGAAGGGATTTGACCCATTGGGTTCAAGGCCCATAGGCCTCCCAGTGGCCCACTTCACTCTCATCCCTTGAAAGAACCCCCCCCCCCCCTGTTTCTCCTTCTTCATGCCTATCCTGAGAGCAAACACCTGACAAGGGTGGGTTGCTTGAACTCGGAAGTCCAGTTTCACAGTAATCTACAAGGGGTAGATCACCCCTTTGGCTTCTCGTTACGCAGGGCCTTTTCAACCGGAAAGGAATGTGCGCCCTGTAAGCTATGGCCAAACCTATCGTGTGTCAAAGTCATGGTTCCCTTAATGGGCCGAATGATTGCCTACATTTTTTGTTTACACGACTTGTTTGTTTTTCTTCTTTTTTTAAATATATATATATATATATATACGTGAGCAGGTCTTTTGAACATGGCAACCACAAACACCCATGTACAGATTATATATGTACATGTATATGTATATGGGTTTGTATTTTTTTGGTGTGTTGAGTTGCTTCAAAAGGCAGAAGGTGGGACCTCCCCGAATCATACCCCCGAATCATACCCCCGAATCACACCCCGAATCATACCCCCGAATCATACCCCCGAATCATACCCCTTAAAAAGTATGCTGCAAGATGCTACTGTTCTTCTACCGTTTTGTGTTGTTCACTGCCTCCACAACAACACTACTACTCCAATTACTACTACTACTACTACTACTGCTGCTACTACTACTACTACTGCTACTACCGCGACTACGAGGATTACTACCACTACCACCGCTACTACCGCTGCTACTGCTAGTACTTCTGCTTCTGCTACCCTTACTACTAACTACACTACTACTACTACTACTACTACTACTACTACTACTACTACGACTACTACCTTTATTACTACTACTACTACTACTACTACTACGACTACAACCTTTACTACTACCACCACCACCACCACTACTACTACTACTACTACTACTACTACTACCACTACTTCTACTTCTACTTCTACTTCTACTACTACTACTATTCCTGCTGCTGCTGCTACTACTCACTGCTACATACATCATTCTGAGTCTGTAATCAGTGCCGTTTTGCACCTAGCCGAATCATACCCGCGAATCATACCCGAATCATACCCGAATCATACCCGGACAATGAGCTTCCCCTGGCAAGGCTAGTGCCAAGTCTTTTTCAAAGCGTCCGCACCACTACATCCTACTGCTACTACTACCACAGCTACTACTCCAGTCATCATTCTGAGTTGTAATCAGTGCCGGTTTGCACCTAGCCGAATCATACCCGCGAATCATACCCGAATCATACCCACGCAATGAACTTGCCTTGCCAAGGCCGGAGCCAAGTCTTTTCAAAGCTTCCGCGCCACTACAGTCGCTGCTTCTACTGTTACTACTACTACTACTACTACTGCTACTACTACTACTACTACTACTACTACTACTACTTCTAGTACTACTACTACTACGACTACTGCTACTACTACTTACTGCTACAACAACAACAACAACTACTACTACTACTGCTGCTACTAGGAAGACTAAACTACTACTACTACTACTACTACTACTACTACTACTACTACTACTACTACTACTATTGTTACTACTACACTACTACTACTGCTGCTGCTGCTGCTGCTTCCGCGAATCATACCCCCGAATCATACCCCGAATCATACCCGCGAATCATACCTGCGAATCATACCCCGTACTCAAACCTTCCTGCCTGGCCACCGTAAAAAAATACAAACCCATATGTATATACTATCTCCATGACCCCCATGGCTTGTGTCCCTTGAATAGTTGAATAGGGTGTGCCTGTTAGGATTTGGATGGACATCATTGAATTGAATGAAGCCCTGTGACTACTGGGATTCGGACAAACCACAAGGTTGGCCCTTCTGAGTTGTCCGACCCTGGTAGGAAAATCATTGGGAACCCTTTTTGGGGGTTGGTGAGTTTGGGGAAGCCGCCAAAGAGAAAAGGATTTCACCCATTTGCTCCTCAAGTTTTCTGGAAAAGAGAGACATATTCAAACGAGTAACCCCACCCCACCCCCCCAAAACCGGCAAATCAAACCCAACATCAACAAGCAAAAGACAAAGCCCAAGACCCAAGACCCAACCGAAAGCATCTCGTGCCAGGTGAGTGTCTGCCCGCACGGCCGGCACGGCCGTTCGGGGGTCTTCGTTGGATCCTCTTCCCGCATGGAGTTTCTGCTGGTGGCCAGTATGGGCTTTCAAGTGGAGGACGAGGAGGCAGCACCGACCCAACGGTTTCCGCTACGATTCCCTTAGAAGCAACAAGCGTTATGCCTGAACCCTCCAAATTTCCTTAAAAATGGGTTTGATCCCCAAAATTGTCGGGTAATATCCCATTTTTATGGGTAGTTTGACGGTCCAGGTGGTTTCATTCCCATGATTTTCATTCCCATGGTTTCATTCCCTTGATGGTTTTTGTCGAACCGTACAGTTTTCTATTTCGGGATGCTTGGTCTTCCATTTCTTAGTCTCCCTGTTGGTTCGAAAGGGAATCTGTCACTATACTGAAAATATGCTTGTTTCTTCCATGAGACTTAAGCAAATGGAAGCGGTGTTTCCATAGGCGTCCTTTTGATCGGTTCGTTTGGTTAAACATAGATGGGTCCACTGGTTTAGACGGGCTTTCTGCCATCCATTTGCCAGGGGCCATCTATTCTTCCAAAAGGCCACCTATGTCTATTTCGGGCTTGGTGGTTCCCAGCCATCCCTGAAGATCGGCCCCCATAACCCAAAGAAGGTCTCACTCCAAACCATGTCTCACTCCCTGAGTTCCGTTGCGGACTTAAAAATTCACAAACGATCAGCCGTGTTGCCAATCCACGAAAGGAAAGGGGTAGACCAAATGGTTTCTACGGTTATGTTGGGGTAAAAACTAACGCGCACCCTTTTCCGATGCGTCTTGAGCCAACGTTGCAGTTGGTCGTTCATGCTCACGAAATTTGGGTGCACTCTTCACACTCCCCCTGTGGCATTTTGCCACACCGCCATTAGACCTGTTCCCACCCCGAGGACTCTGAGGTCTCCTCTTGAGGTGGCTCAGGCTCGCTCCCAGTTTTGGGAAAAACCGCCACCGGGCCCGCCTCAGCTCCTCTCTCAACTGGGCCACCCTTGACGTACCCCACCTCCCAAGTCCTCGCCCGAGCCGACGAAGACGATGCCTTCTCCTTCACAACCTCCTCCTGCATCCCCGGAGACTGCCTCTCCTTCTTCTCCTTGATCCTGAAGAACGTGTATCCTCGCCACTGCTGCATTTTGGAGGTGGCTTGCCTTGTCTGCGGCGCAGTCCAGCTATCCTCCTCAATGCGCTTGAGGCCCAACCCCGAATTCCCGGCGAAAAGCTTCACCGTGGTCCTGGTTGATTCCAGGTCCACTGCATCCACCGGAAACTCCCGATGGATTGGGTGGAACCTTCGTTTCCTCGGCTTCCCATGAGCTCGAATGGCCCATCCCGGCACCGACCAATCCCACCGGTCCTTGCCCTTGACCGGCGGGGCCACCTTGTACTTCTCCAGCTCCCACGGGGTCCCGTGGACGGTCTGGTCCTCGCCAACCTCCTTCTGCGGATTCGGCTTCGTCTCCTGCTCCACCCGAATCACCTCCTCCTCTGATTCCTTCTTCTTCCAACGCAATGCCCGGAGCCTGGGTCGAACTTGACGATCACCCTGACTGCTGCTGGGCTCCTCTCTGCTCCTAGGATGAGCAGGGCCAGCATCGCGAGGGTCATTGTCGTCTCGAGGGCTGCGGCTCCGATCTCGACTTCCCGGGTTCTCATCGATCCCCAGGTCTGCCAACGAAACGGTGCCCCTGAGCGGCACCCAAAACGTAGTCGAGCCCGTCCAGGCGTGGGCCTCCCGAAAGGTGTCCTGCCTCCAATTGTCCACGAAGGTCCGTCTGCCGCGCTCCTGGTCAACGAAAACCACATGGTTCAACCTCCGGTCTTCCAGCATGTTGATGTTGACCCCAGGCGGCATAGCTGCCGGATCCGGTTGAAAGTCCCGGTTCCGTCTGAGCATATGGATGCGGACCGCCACGATCCTTGTCTCCTCAAAGCAAAGGTCACCTCCCAAAAGTCCTCCGGTTCCTCCTCCACCGAGTTCTGCACCAACCCAGACGGGCGTTCCGGCCATGGCATGGCAGGAACCTCGTCCTGCTTCTGACCTAGTCCTAAAAGCAAAGGGCAGCCCATGGGGCAGTGGTCAAACGGCTGACGGGAGGGGTCCCAGATGTTGACCTCTGGGGCTGGTTCATCTTTCCTAGCCCTTCTTGTCGTCGCCGGTTCATTTTCCCTGGCGATCTTCTTCTCTGTCGGTTCATGTTCCCTGACAGAGGCACTTCTCCAAACAGAGGGGTCCTCTAATGTGGTCGGTTCATCTTCCCTGACCATCTTTGCAACCCTCATCTGGTTGTCCTCACGTGCGGCTGGTTCATTTTCCCTAGCCGATCTTGTTTCCCTCTTGGGTTGGGCCCACTGGCCTTTCAACACGAATCCTACACCCACTCCAAGGGATGCCAAGCAGACATCCCGGATCAGACACGATCCCCGATCCTGAGGCTTCCAGCAGGCGATGATGCCCATCAGCCCACTCATCGCAGCGACCTTCACGCCACCTTGCCAATGGTCCGACCACCATCTGCTTCTCCTGGTCCTGGTCGCGAAACCACCTCCGACTCATCCTTGATCATGCCCGCCATGGAGTAGAACCGAAGCCATTGGGTCCTCGCCGCCACCGCCTTCGTGAGGTAGTCAGCCACCAACCCGCTACCCGGCAAATGTCTGATCTGCCATTCCCCTTCTCGCACTCGTTCCCGCAGCACGTTGGATCGAAGGCGCAAATGCCGTGTGCGCCAAGGTCCCGAAGGACTTTGCACGATTGCCAAGGCCGCCGTGTTGTCCCCGTAGATCACCCGCTCCGCCTCCTTGGCGCTCCAGCATCCCCCTTCGGTGATGTCCAGGATGGCACAGAGGGAGTCTCCCATGATCATGGCCTCGATATAGCCCACCAACTCCGCCTCTGCCGTGCTGAGGGTGCAAAAAGGCTGTCGACCCGATTCCCATTGGACGAGGGCACCACCATAGAATCCCAAAACTCCCTGGTGGCTCCTCTCTCCCTGCGGCGCAAAAGAGATGTCCGAGTACATTTCCAGCCGCCTCATCGATCGCGCGAAAGGAAGATCCCCTTCTGCTCCTCGGTCTCCCAGGCAGCGCCCATAGACCAGTCCCAAGTCCTTCGTGCCGTAAAGGTAGGCCATCATGTCCTTCCCAGCCTTCACGACTTCCAAAGGGCACCGGGTGACATGTTGCGACATCCAGGAAACCCCGAATGCCACATCCGGCCTGGTGCGTACCGACACCCACAACAATTCTCCAACCAGTCCCTGCGCCTCCCGAATGCCATCTTGCGTGACCACCGGATTCTCAGAAACCTCCGGCTTGTAGAACGGGGCCGGTTTGGCCATCACCTCGTGACGCTGCAGCTCCGAGATGTACGAGGGTTGTGCCACCCGGAGAGTCTCACCGTCCTCGTCCCACTTCAACTCCATTCCGCAGAACTTCGTCCATCCTGCCTTGTTCACCCACTTCGGCGCGCTGCAAACCCACTCCTGATTGATCCTCTTGATGACATTCTCCACCAAGGAAGTAGGTCCCACCGCCAGAAAGTCGTCCACGTAGATCACCAAGTAGCCGCAGGGCTTAGGGTCCTTGCCGGCCTCAAACTCCACCATAGACCATACACTGGTTTCCGCCGTCCGTTCCAAGCCATAGGTCCTCCCCCGATCCTGCCAGGTGAAGCCCGCTAGCCCTTGATCTTGGAACGCTGACCAATCTGCTGGACTGGTGTCCAAGCCGTACATGGCTCCTTGAACCAACCACCGCTCCGACGCCTTCACAATCCCAGCCTCCACCAAAACCTTCGGGGGCCTTGTGATAAGAGTTCGCCGGGTCTCCTTTCGGGGCGCCAGCAAGAAGGCGCACTTCACATCCACCGTTGCCAAGGACCACTGTTCGTGGGCTCCCTTTCTTAGAACGCACCTCAGAGCCGTCCCGTCGATGCCCCCGGCATAGTTCTCGGCCTTGTCCGCCGAGGTCCACGCCACCTTGCCGTTGCCGTCCGCCAGCAAATTGCCACATATCACCGCTCTCGCCCTCTTTCTTCCTGTCGGGGCCTTGATGGTCGTGACCAGCTTCCCCGGGGCGGACTCGGCATCTTCAATCCCCGGAACCGCCGCCAGATCGCACTCGTCGATGGGCTTGACCACCTCTGTATTCACCAGGGAGCGATACTCGTCCATCATGGCCTCTCTCCATGCTTCCAGATCCTTCCGCACCTCCTGCAAAGGCACCGTGTAGGTTGCAGAACCTTCGCCGGTTCTTCTCCATCTGCTCCCTGCAGTCCTGCCAGCTTGTGGAAGTCCTTATTCTCCCGGTCCTGCATGATTACCAGGTCATCCTCCAGCTGGTTGATGCCACCCAGAAAAAAATCCATCGCTGCTCCTTGACCATTCCCGGTGATCTCATCCATGGGGATCACCTTGAGCTCCTCCGCCAGTGCTTCCTTAAAGCCCCACTGGTAGCTGCTCATGAGATTCTTCGTCTCCTCCAGGCTTTCTTCAAAACTCCATGATTTTGATGGAGAGGTGTACTCCCCCCCCGTTCGCAGTTCACGTAGAGCGGGTGCCAGACCTTCTCCATCTGCCGCTGGATGCCCTTCTTCTCCGTCTCCCCCCAGTTAAGGCCTGGATCCAGACTCTGCTTGCCCGTCAACCGCGTTCTCGGTCTCCCTGGATGTTCCTCCATCTCCAACTCATACCTCACTCTTCCCGCCTCCAGGTCCCTTGCTTGGTCGGCCTCCTCGTCGGGCAGAACAGCCGCCCTGGTGTGTTGGATGGCCCCGTCTTCTGTCTGAACCACCCAGCCCCAACTCATCATTGGACTAGGACCCAGTAGGCGTACTTCTCGAAATGGAGAAGCCAGGGGGCCCTTCTTATGCCACCGCTTTGTCTTCGCCATCACCTTGGAGTAGAACGGGAGCATCGGGAAGGTGTCCACCCCAAGTTTCTGGAGCTGCATCTGGTTCCTTTGAAGCACCACATGTCGTAGTGCCGTGGGCCACAGCTTCACCGGAGCCCCTGAATCCTTGAGGACCACTCGCAGCCTTCTCTTCACCTGGTTGACCTCCGTCTCTACTCGTCCATTGGCCGCATGGTCATCGCCCGCC